TATAACCCTAGCACGTTTGTACTTTAAAATGACATTCTCCCCCAATATATTTGTAATTGACCCCAAACATCCCGATGATTTTGCTGTCACATTAAAGTAGTATTACTATCACGCAGAGCTGGACATTACAGAGATGCCTGGTGTTGGCAGAGGAGGTGTGAGCACTGGACATACTGTGGTGACTTTGTTTGGCCTGGGCAGTGAGACAAACCTGATATTAGTTTTAAGTCATATGTCTCCAGGGCCAAGGTTCTCATTATAACTCCAGCACACTTATTAACCTTTAAGTGACATCCACCATTAATGGCCCCTTTCTCTCACATGCAATTCATGAAACAATTTGTTTTGACTTGCTGTTGTGCAATAAGATAAAATAGCTTGTGTTAAAAACAAAATTACAGAACATTCCAAATGCCATTTAATACTATTTTTAGCAGGTCACTCGTATACTGCATTACAGTTAATGTTGTTCAAAAACACTGACAAGTAAAAATTTAGAAAATGGGTCACTCAAATATACAGATTTCAGTTTATTTGTAAAAAATACCACTAGAGAAACAGATAAACAGTTTATATAATTCACAAGGAAATTCATTTTGATTCCTAAGTTAGTTATGTACAATAATGTAAAATGCTAGTCATGACAATTCTCACAAATCTATTTTTCAGGTTCTCTACAGAACCTCCCTGGCTCAGAAATGATTGAACTGTCTAAGAGTTTGCTTTAAACATATTAATTGTACAGCTATACCATATCACTGGATAATGATACGACAATGCCCCCTGCTGTTTGTACTTTACAACTGGAAAGAAAATCTTAGAAATTTCTGTTACATGATACGGCATAGTATTCATTGTATTGTAGTTTTAAAAAACTCTTCTTAAAGGGGCACTATGCAACCATGCATAGAAGTTATTTATCTCAGTTATTCAACAACTGATTTTAGAGCTTGAAAAAAATACTTGAATACATGTATTCTTACTGTGAACGACTTGCCCCTCCAAAGTTCTGACCTATAATGTTGGTCTGGTGGCCTGCTTGTCTCGATCGATCGATCGATAGATAGGCAGATAATTTTTATCCTGAAGGAATTTCAGAATTTAATTCTTTATTGTAGAATATTACAGGGAAAACAATAACATCTCCATGGCTGCAGAGCCTCTACTAGAAATGTTACGTAGTGCACTTTCTAAGATATACATGATTTATGCTTTGACAGGGCTTATTGTCACTCAGATACAACACACATCCTCCAAAAACAGAAATTCAGCTTATTACTTAAGTTATTTTTTTTTTCATTCACATATCCAACCCACATGCAGCCTTTCCTCCTATTTACTTCCAATCAGTAGCTGCACAAACAAGCTGCTAATTCATCACTAACTGACAATAGTATGTTTCATAATCCTCCTTTTTAAAAACACAGACTCCCATCCACACGACAGGACAAAAGTGCCTCTGCCCGCACTGTTAAACTGACACAACAAGCTGCAAATGACCTCCGTTGTCTGTCATCTGCTGGCATCTGAAAACAGGTGTACGCCCAGGCCCCGCGTGGTGATTGATGGGCGTCTCACTCCCATCTGTTCCGGCCTCGTCACTTGTTCTTTCCACTGTAACGGCAGCAGCTCCTGTGCGTAATATTGATAGAAGAAAGCGTGCCAGCATGCGTTTGATAGACCCAGGAGTATCACTATTAAAGGCCATACAGACCGCTGGCTTTTTCCACAGAGCGGGGTCTTGTTTTTGTAAAGTAAGGCAAAGTAGCGTGCCACCGCACTGGAGGAGTGACTTGTATTTAAACATGAGATGACAGTGCTCACCCTGGCTGGCAACTTGTCACCCTTCACTGCTCATTGCACCCATGAACCCACCTTCGGGCCTGGGGTGAGGGTGAGGGAGAGGGGAGTTTGGCTCGGGTCATGGAAGATCAGTTTGCAGGTTGTTGTCAACAGTAATTAATGGTGGTTTGGAAGTGTAAGTTTTGGTAGAGGAAACATTCTTGAGGGCATTGTTGTTGCAAATGCTTACGGTTAGTGCAGACTATTTATTGTCAAGTGATGCACAGTATTCAGAGAAATTACGCATGCATTTTGGTGACAGAGGTTGTGGCATTTTTCCATTGCTCATACATAGGGTGTTGTCAGCATTGTTGAGCTAATTGATTTAAAATACTTTTTAGATATTTACTTATTTTTTTATTATTTAATTTGTAAAATGTAGAAAATTTTCAAAACAAAAATAGCAAAAAAAGAAAGAAAAAAAAAATCTCCCACATCCCACTCCTCTCTCCTCACTCTGCAGTCCAATATGTCACAGATACTACATATACACAAAAAAATACTAGGTATTCAAACATCATAGATTTTTACTTCTTTATTCTATTCTTAATGAAGACATTTTCAGTAACTTTTAATATAATAATATAGTCTTTAAATGCACATGTTAAGTCTTTCTCACTTAAATACATTTGTACAGTATTAGAGTTGAAAATGTGTGGATTATTAGCATGTCAGATGTCACTGACCTGTAGCCAGTCAAGTTAAGCCAATCCTGTGTGCATTTATAAATATTAGAATGTACAGTCTAAGTTTATTACAAAGAAAAAAGGTTATACAATTTACTAGAAAGGAGTGGGATATTTGTAGTTCTTTTTATCAGTAGTAAATCATCTGTGTCTCTTCTCCTCTTTCCGCTGATGAATGTCTGGCTCTGTCACCTTTGCCAAGAGCTTCTTCAGATTTCCCCTGGACCCTAGACAAGTCGCGCGCTGCATCGGCTCCATTTGTGCACCGTCATGCAGACATGCTAGTCGCATTAGCTGTACTGTATAAGAATGCCTCTATTCTTATCAGTGTTGGGAGTAACGCGTTATAAAAGTAACGAATTACAGTAATGCTTTACTTTTTGCTGTAACGCAGTAATGTAAGGCATTACAGGGGAAAAAATAGTAATATTTTACTCGGTACAAATGTGAGTAACGCGCGTTACAATGTTTTTTTTAACCTGGATTGAAGTGGTGGGTTTTTCTTCATACAAATTCGCTAAAATCACCTCGATATCAGCAGCGGTGAAACGCCGGAGATGCGCCCTCATAGACCTTCAGGTAACCGCGGGCGAAAGGACTGACAAACAACTCCACGCTGTTTAGACCTGGTTTAGACCTGGGTCAGTTCTGGTTTAGGCCTGGTTTACACTCGTCCCTCCCTCTATCGCGGGTTCACTTTTCGCGGTCTCGCTGTTTCGCAGATTTTTTTTTTTTTTTTTTTTTTTTGTGCAATTTTGTATGCCCTTTTTTTTTTTTTTTTTTACATTGTATGAATGCGTATTGCGTCCCTCCCGCTGCGTCCTGACTGGCCAAGGGACTCCTGTCTCCTGTACAGTACAGTACAGAATGTGTTCAGCTTCCAAATTTAAATACATGTTCAGTCTCTAGCAGTGTGATTCTGAAGTGTTGTACGGTTGTAAGTTTTCTCCCCGACGAAACCCACAACGTCGACGAAACGTTCTGCACCGACAAAGGCTCCTGCGCTCACACCCAAAAGGCAGAGGAAGATGCAAACCATCACACAAAAAGTTGGACTTCTGGACACGCTGAAGGAAGGTAGAAGTTACGCGCGGTAACAGACTCTTGCACCGGCTCGGGTACCTGCAAATAGTTGCTGAAATCAGGGCCGCGAGCCCGAGCAGGAGGGTCCATAAAGAGCGATCGGGCGACAGCAGCTCTTACCTCCGTGAGGTGCGGAGCAGAGCCGCTCCTTTCTCCTGCGGTCACCTTCGAGCCCGGCCCTACAGTGAGTCCTGTTTTAGTCCTAGTTCAGTTCTGGTTTAGTTCTACTTCAGTTCTGGTTTAGTCCTAGTTCAGTTCTGGTTTAGTCCTGGTTCAGCTCTGGTTTAGTCCTGGTTCAGCTCTGGTTTAGTCCTGGTTTAGACCTGGTTTAGTCCTGGTTCAGCTCTGGTTTAGTCCTGGTTTAGACCTGGTTTAGTCCTGGTTCAGTCCATATACAGCGCAAAAGTTATTTTGGTGAGAGTAACTTAAAGTAATGCAATAGTAATGTAATGCCTTACATTTTAAATGCAGTAATATTGTAATGTAACGAATTACTTTGAAATGACAGTAATAGGTAATAAATAACGCATTACAGTTTCAAAGTAACTTGCCCAACAGTGATTCTTATTCTTATTATAGAGATTTCAAGTGCAATGGAACTTTTCTACAGTAAAGGGTCCGCCACCTGGTTGTCTCCATAGAGAAGTTATTATTTGTCCTTGAATGTTCTGCAGTTTATTTAGCAAAAAACACATGGAATATATAAAAAATAGAAGTTCATTGCTGTACTGTGAAACATTACAGACAAAGTAACATCTTGGAATGCAAACAGGTGTTGGACCCCTGACCAGTTACATATTGTACCTGTTTTGTCTAGTAATGTCATATAATTAAATAAGCAATAAGTCATCATCACAACAAGTAAAATAAATAAAAATTCCAAGTAGACTAAATGCTAGTATTTTCATTCAATAAACTTTTTGTATCACAAAATAAATGACCATTGTCACACTTCAACTCCAAAGAATAGTTTCGTACAGTGAGTATTCTGACAGCCAGCAGCCCAGTGACGATGGTGGGCTTAACACTTATGCCTCTCAAATGTCTGGTGGGCCGCCCAGTGCCAAGCCCCCCCCCCCAAACACTTGACCCCATGCTGACGTGGGCCCTGCATTTACATTTAGGGACTCCAGCTTATTCCACTCCTAATACCACTGCTAGTGTGGAGAGAAGCTGGCCCAGGGACAGATACTAGGAGGGTTTTCTCACTTAATTATAGGCACAGATACTGAGCCTATTCAACTTTTGACTCAACTGGACTATCTTGATTTTCTTTTGGGAACACTTTGGGATAGAGCTGGCTGCTATTTTGTGCAAACCTCTTTCCAGGGACATCACTGGTCCTACATTTGTCTGTGTCTTAATGTGATATTTACTCCGTGGTAAACCATGAGTTCAATGGGAATTAATCAGAGTGAGCTTAAAGATGGCCACATCAGCTTCGATCTCATCCAAAACCGGATCGAATCTTTGAGCACCAAGATGGACACGCTCATCAACATCCAGGAGAAGGTTCTGAACAGGCTGGACAGCATGGAGAGCTCAGAGAAGGCAGAGGAGGAAAACAGTTCTGGACCCAAAATGATGGAGCAACTGATGGGGCGAGAGGTGAGGGATATCTGCCAGGAGCTGAGCACCATTGTGTCCGTGGTGAATCAGCGCTCGGAGCAGCAGGCTCAGAAGCTGGAGGGCATGGAGAAGCTGGTGCTGAACATGCAGCAGGTCATCAGCTTCATCGGGGAAACCGTCAAGAGTTCCAGGGTCATGCAACTGATGCTCAAAGGACCAGCCACTCGCAAAGGACCCAAACTCAAAGACAGTAAAGCCAAGGTGCTCAAGAAGAAAACCTCGACCGAAGCTGTCACAAAAAAGGCTGACGCCAAGGTAAGTGTGCAGCACTTATTGTGCACAGATACAAATCTTACACTGTTTAAATATCTCAACTTTTGGCCCTTAAGGTATGCCATGTCAAATATAAAGTATATTTGACCATTCAGATGCTACCGTATCTTTAAGTTAGTGACACCAGTGTGGTCTATGGAGGTTACTGCATTATTACTTTATTCAAAATATGATGACTGGGTCACACTGCTATCACTATTGCATGGTAATGTTCACCTAGACTTTTTACTATGGTGTTATCCCACAAGTTATTTGGCAATAAAATGGGTGGTCTGCAGTCACTGGGCTTCAGTCCACTATTTTATTGTGGTGCAGCCAAGAGCTAGTGTGGCTCTGGTGAAGCCATGTGCTGGTTTGTGCAACAGTTACTTTTTGTATCCTGTACATTATGCAGCAGAAGGAGCTGTTGTTGGCAGACTCTATTAGTTTTACACACTTTACTGCTCATCCATCACTCTCTCAGTATCAGTGTCTGCTCAGTCTGCAGACCTACATTCTTATTGGGATCCTGTTGATCCTGGCAGCACACATGATCATGAAAATGATCATAGCATCAAGATGACCACTAGACCCTCTCTGAATGTTTGGCTTCTGACTAAAATTCCCCACATCAGGACCTAGGGCTAGATAACAGGGCATGATTATTCCATGCTGGTATTATGCCAGGAGAATTTTATTTGTTATGAATAATAATAAACAAATGGCAAGAAAAGCCACTTAGCCACGATATAAGCATTTTACATGCTCTCAAATGTAAAACGGTTGCCTCACAGTCATAGAAAGTAATAGGGCCAGTGTGTGGGGTCAGGTGAAATGCAAGCAGTCCTACAGAATGCTGTTTTAGGCACAGGCTCAACACTGTTTGTGGTTTCAAAGGCTTTAACCCCTTGTGCGCTGAGCATCAGGTGTCTCTCATGTGCTGAGTCAGTCCTCTCCCTGTCGCTCTAACTGACTCATCTACATGTTCTGAATCTCAGCTCTTCCGGTGGACACTTCATATGGGACCTATACATGTACAGCGGATGTTAAAAGGAAGCTACAGCATTTCATTTGGCACATTTTACAGCAGGTGCTTTCCCGGTCTCAATCAGTCAGCTGAGCCTAATATGACTGGAGTAACACTATCCATGATGTAATATCAGCTTTAGAATGTGCACACTCTCTGGTCAGAATGATTTCAGCTCTCTTTGTTTCTTTGCTTTTTGCTTGAAATAAGGGAGAAACACTTTTTTTTCAATACCTGATGCATTTCTTTGGAGTTTGCTGGTGCTTCTTGCCCTGTACTGTAGATAGTCCTCTCTCTGTGCCATTGTCACTCTTAGCCTTGGTGCTAAACTTACCACTGCAAAAAAAGATCTCCATAAACTTTATTGGGACCTCCTGCAGACAATGCTGTCCGGGCAGCTTTGATTTAGAGCCTCAGTAAAAGCCTGCACTAAGTGTACAGTTTTAGAAATCATGGGCCCCCACCCAAATGCATAAATATTTTTTATGTATTATGATACGATTCCAGGAGGCGCCATGTGTCTTAATTAGCTTTCGGGACATGACTATATTCCTCCCTCTCTGCCAGTTTCTGAGATTGCTTTAGTGCTGTTCTTAAACAGGCCTGGCCTTATGTAAAGGTCACTAAGTGGAGCTTGGTATAGGAGGCTTAGCCTGAGAAACTAAAGAGCTTTATCTGCACATGCTGCATAAGGGAAAACTGCACACTGCACACCTCCACCTCAGTGACGTCATGTGACTTGGTTATCAGGCACTGTGGTTGGGTCACTCTGGTGTGGGTACTTGAATGTAGGGCACCCAATCTCTGGAGCCAGGTCATGATAATAAACATACTTGTGTAAGTCATAGGCTTAACATTGAGGCGACACAAAGCACACTCATCCTGTTTATAGTAAGTTTAAACTTGGATTCAGTGATGGACTACAGCATTGCCACTGCCTAAGCTATTGCAAAGTACACTTTATTGTCCCCATATGAAAATTTGCCCTGCATTTGACCCACTGGGTCATCTCCTGAGAAGCAGTGAGTACCACCACGCAGTGCTTGAGGACCCATGTCCATGATCTTGTTGCTAGGCTTGGTCAGGACTACCTTAGCTGGAGGATTTCACCATGTTTTGGGTTCATGGGGGAAACTGGAGAGCTTGGAAGAACCCCACCTAGATGAGGCAGGCAACCCAGGGCCTTGGAGTGCTAGCCACTCAACCACTGTGCACTCCAAATATTCTGAATATTTTAGAGCTGACCTGGGGACACTTATTTCTTTTTCACTTGACAGCCATACTTTGGGGCAAAGTGCATCAAGTGCATTTATTTTTCTCATCATGAGAATTTTAAACCCAGTTGATGGGTAGGCTGTTCTAAGTACGTCTTAATTGCACCTCTCTGGACTCATAATTTATGACTGGCTTAAATCTGAATACTGGCCAGCTTGCCTCACACATATGGGGGCTCGTGTGTGCCTCGCATTACAGGGAATGTGCCCTCTCTGCCGTCACAGCCCGCACCACCACTAGAGGTGCAAGATGCTCCTGTGCCAAGTCCAAATCACACTGTTGTCACTGGGGAAACACTGCACCCAAAATAGCCTCCCCTGTTTACCTTACAACAGCCCCCCAACTGGGCAAGACACTTTTTCCATAGTCGTCTGATCTCAGTCTTTAGACAGAGTTCCTCAGTGGAGAAATTTGAACAACGGGCGGTCGCTTGCCTGTCATATTTTCCGCCCAGAGTCAGAGGTGCATTCCTTTAGCTCAGGCTGGAGAGCGATAAGCTATAAATTCATGAGCACTGCTGCCGTGTGTCCATCTACAGTCAATGATTAAAGGCATGCCCATTCTACCAGCCAGTCTGCACATGCAATAAACACACTAACATGTCTGCCCATTGTGTTTGCTCTACCAAGCATGTATGTCTTGTGCATTTAGCATTGATTCCTGGTCTATTTAATGTTTTCACACCAACCATATACGTGATCTTTTTCCCTTCTGTGTGTCTTCTCTATTCTCCTCTCTATATTTTTTTGTTTTGTTTTCTTACTACTCCAAATGTAGTTAAATTACACATATTGGCTGCAGTTACATGCACACTTAAAATCTGATTATTTTCTGAGTTTTGGAACTAAAAGTTTATTAAAACAGCAAACTCATCTCAATTCTTTCTAGTCATTGTCCCTCTGACATCAAATGTCGTTACATGTCCTTACACTGTTAAAGATCTAGAAATCAGATATTAATCACATTTTGGTTAGCCAGTGAGTAAGTTATGAAATGTATTACGTTCATAGAAGTAAAATTATCAGTATTAGTTTTTTTTTTTTTTTTTTTTTTTACAATATCCCATCTCCATTGTCTTATTTACACCTGTATTCATCTATTGTGTTTTCCTTCCATGTTAATCTTACTCTCATCCATGTTGTTTTTTCATCCTGTGTCATCCTCTGTGCATAACCCTACTAAGCGCTGCCATCTTGTCTCTGTAACAGAAAACTACCTCTATTAAAGCAAGTAAAGGGACTGAGGACATAAGTGCTAAATGTGAGCGCAGCGGTGCACAGGCCTCACAGAAGACAAAGCTCCATGGACCAAAGCATTTCCTCGCCTCACGCAAATGTGGATTCTTTGTACGTGTGTCCATCTCATCTACATCCATGTTATATGTGCTTCTGTGTTAGATGCTGCTTCAGGCTCTGTGTGTCACTTAAATGTTTGTCTGTATTCAAACTATATTGGGCCGGGCAGTTACTAGGCTTGTAGCTTTAAGTGGAGAACACTTGTTCTTGTGTTCTCGTTCTCTTTTTAGTATCCAAATGTTTAAATTTTTCCCCCCTATAAAATTAAAAATTCAGTATCATCTGATAACAAAGTCATTAATTAATAATAACAAATTTTGAAAATTGGAAAGAAATAATATTAAGAAGATATGATATTTAAGATTGGAAAATCATTTTTGTAATTTTGTACAACGATTTAGTTAATGAAGCCCACAAAATTCAGGATTCAATATGTGGTTTTCAACTTTTGTCAGGAAGTACCCTCGAAATAACAACTGTTGGCTTTCGTGATGCACAAAATAATCAAGTAGCCTGCAAATAATTATAATAATAATACATTTTCTTAAAAAGTCTAAATAAATACATTGTACAGTCCAATAAATAGGAATCTACATTTACAGATGCATTGAATGAATGGTGTAAAAGCTTTTGTTAGCCTAGTTGACTTTTTAAAATTATGATCTGGAGACCCCCTCCAATAAGGCTGAGAACTACTGCAGTAATTTAAGGTTACACAAAGTTATAACTATGACAAGTCTCAACAAAGTTTAATTTCTTCTTATTAAATATATATTTTATTTTCCAGCTAAAAGATCACAAAAACAAAGAAGGGACAGAGAAACCATCGCTGACACCCAAAAGCCCCAAAACACAGAAGAAAACCAAGCCTACAGAAACAGGTGTCTCATCTCCTCCCATCACTATCTAAGTGATCAGACTTGCTTACTAATATCATTGTGTTTTTGCCTTGTCTCAGACATTTCCTTAAAGAAGCAGGCTCTGTTGTTAGAAGAAGTGCAGAAACTGAATCGAGAGAACAATGAAAAGTCGAGTACACAGCCACTCTCTGAAAGCCCAGGCCCAGCAGTAGATGATGTCACCACTGTGGTCTACTATCTCCCTGATGACTCAAAACTGAAGCCAGAGCCAGAGGAGAGACCAGAGGAGAGACCAGAGGAGAGACCAGAGGAGAGGCCAGAGGAGAGACCAGAGGAGAGACCAGAGGAGAGGCCAGAGGAGAGGCCAGCTGAGCATAATGAGAAGGCTGTGCAGGAGAGGGGGGAGGAGGGAGGGTCTAAGGAGCAGGAGGCCAGTCAAGTGTGTGCTGAAGAACAACCATCTACCAGGTACACTCACAATATTATATTATGTATACATAATATTGTGTATAGGTCAATGGAAGTTTAGGTTCACTAGTAGACATTATAATTTATGTGGATGGAGTGTAACATAAATAACACACCTCTCAATAACTTGATACATTTGTCACATTCTATAGGACTACAGAATGACAGACTGAAAAAGCGTTTTGGTTGTCAAAAAACATAATAAAATCATGATAATCTCAACACTAACATGTTGAATTATGAAAGATCTACTAATGTACTACTTATATATTCAAGTGTTTTAGTTTGCTGTTATGGAAGCCATTTTGAAGACTATGCCTATTTGTTTATTTATAATATAGCTTACAAATTGCTATGGCAATGGACCCAACTTCTCATCACTCTCAAACCCATGGATAGAACAGTGCTGTTGGTAAATTGATCACTTTTAAAACACTTCTTCCTGTTTCAGCTCCACACACGACACAAGTTTGCCACAGCCCAGAGAACCTGAATCAGACCAGAAGACCTCCACAGAGGAGCAAATGTCAACAGAGGACGCAGAAATTCAGCAGGAGGAGAGAGAGGAGAGACATGAGCACAACATGGCAACTGAGGGCTGGGCTGTGTTCAAGGCGGACGGGGTAGAGATCACTATGGACCTGAAGCAGAGAGTGGAGGAGGAGAGGCGCTGCTTCAGTCATCTCGAAAAACAGTGCGTGCCGGATGAGCACGCTGAGAGATTCTTTATTGGTTTGTGCTTCTGCCTGTTTTGTAGAATCTCAGTATATTTATCTAACTACACAATAAAATATGAAGAGTAAAACAGACAACGTCTACAACTTCTCAGTTGTCCACTATAGTGCTAATGATGGTCCTCATCTGTTTATAAAATGTGATCATATCCCACTCTCAGATGTGGAGGAAATTATTTAGAATAAGTGAATATAGTTCATTGTTTGCAGTAGTCCAGAGAAGAGTTTTGTGGTAATGCTAACAACAACTCGCATGCTAACAGCACATCAGCACTGCTTCCTGGTTTATGGAAGACAAAAACACTTTAGAATTAGAGGCAGCACACAGCAATCTCATTTTTAACCCCAAGACCAGCTCTTACAATATATCAGTGTTGGGGTAAAACAGATTTGATTTGAGTACAACCCCTTTAGCCTAAACATTTTAGAACAACAATAATCAATGGGATTAATGCTGTTAAATCAGTTGCTATTTTATAATAATAACTTCTGAAAATCAAGAATTTCAGGATGTCCTGAGGCAAGGAGTTGTAGTTTGGGCATCATGTTGTTCAGTCCTATATTTGCACACCTCTCACAATCAAATGTCTAATCCTTCAAATTAGTCAGTTTACAAAATAATTGTTGACATTTATTATTCACATTAGTGACAATGTTATTTTCCAACCATCCCACAAAATTTGCCTATCAACAACATCAGACACTTCTGGCCAATAGAAAACAATACATGTACATATTAATGCATATCTTCTCTCCAGACACGACTCCTCCTCCTGCTGCTCCATTCAACCACCGTGTTGTATCGGCCAAGCCCAACAAGATCAGCAACTTCTACACCATCAACTGGCAGGAAGAGCTGGGCGGGTGAGCACTCTATAAATCAGACAAATGAGAGGCACTCTGTGTATTTTAGACAATGCTATGGTAAGTAGTGGGTAGTGTAGCTCATAAACTAGAGACCTATAGAGACAGTATACAGACTGTCATCACCTGTGGGCTGTTCTGACAGGGGCCACTGTCCTGTTGGAAGGTCATCATACCAGGCCATTTTAAACTTTAGTACAAGGCAAAAATGACAAGTGGAAAATCCTTGTTCCAAATCAATCAGAAAGGAGACGTAACAATAATAATAATAATAAAACTAATAATAATGCAGTAATTACATTTTTAGATATGCATTGTGTCTTATGCCGTAACTGTACTGTAATGTAATTGTTAATTAAAAAAAACAAAACAAAACAAAGACAAAACAATTTAAAACACCAAACGCTAGTTAAATGGTAATCTTGAATGAATGAATGGGCCCCAGGTTACTTTGTAGTGACAAAGTTGGGCCCAGAGTTCAACACGGTTAGAACCCCTGATTATAGCGCATTGTTGAAAACATTTGGAAAATCTATCGTGATTTTAAACTTCTGTCACCTTGCCAGATCAAAGGGAATTCTAAACAAAAATTGAGCACAAGGGAAATAGTAATACTGAATTGAACTATAATAGTATATACATTTTCTAATTTAATTATTAAATTCTTTTAGAATCAGAATCAAAACTGAATCATCGCACATCAAAAGATCCACTGGTAGAATTATGTTTAGTCAGTGTGATAAATTATATTACAAAGACATTCATTTAGAAAGGCCTACCATATTCTAGGACATTTGAACGCATCAAAGTTCAGTGTTACATAAAATACTACCATATATCTGTTCCCCTGTTTATGGACTCTAGATCAAAGGCAGTGATGAAATATTTGTCAGTTCCACGGAAGGTTTAATTGCGTGAGCCCCCTCCTCCTCCCCTCTCTTGCACACCCTCCTCTCCTCTCTCCTGGAGTTCATAACTTTAGAGTCACAGTGGTTATTTTTGCCACAGGACTGAGCGGTATGTGAAATAGTATCCACGGTGCCAGCTGGGAGCTAATCACTAAGTGTTAATCCACGTCTTCAAAGAGGAGACACTGGGTCGGCTCACATTTAATGAAATAACAGATTAAGCAGGGAGCTGTGAGTCCTGATTCACACTGATGCTTTATCATTGGGGAAAAAAAACATATACAATAAAAATTCTGTACACTCATGGCAGCTGTGGACTTCGAGGAGAGGGGTGACACGGGGTCGTTAATGAGCATGTGCTCCATTGTAAACATGGCCGCTGGGGACATTTACAATGTTTAGGATGACTAATTAACAGAGGTGGGTAGTACATTTACTCAAGTACATTTACTTGAGTAACATTCTGAGTAGTTTTGAGCAATACTTGATTAGTAATTGAGTAACAGAATTCTCAACATTGCGTAGAAAATATTACAGTTTATTAAATTATATAATTTTGTTTTTCAAATTTTTGTTATCTACTCTTTAAAATTACATATTTTTTGTAAAATTTAATTTTTGTTCTTCTAATTACATAAATCATAAATCAGATTACGCCACAAGTACTCTAACTTAAGTAACAGATTCTCTACATTTTTACTACTTGAGTAATTTCTCAGACCACTGTTTTGTCCTTCTTGAGTAATAATTTAGGGTATGGTACTCTTACACTTTTTGACTGATTTATCCAGTTCTGATCATTGACATTGAAAACTATTATTTTTTCAAATGAATGTGGATACAGTAAACATATCTTAGTAAACATCAAGTCTTACTCTAAGCAACATAAGTATTTTATTTTTTATTATTTTAATTTATTTATTTATTTATTTCGGTCACAGGTATATTTTGACATTAATTCACAAACAGTCATATTTAACATATACAGACCGAAAAAGTGCAGGCTGAAGCTTAAGCTTATTATGCCTACCCTTTATTCCTTTGTCAGAGCGTTATCTTGACATAAGTCATATTATGAACTGATGATTACATTTAGCCAATTCCATGTGACAAGAAACAGTAAATCACTAATATAAGGGCAGCAATATCAATTTTAAGGAATGCAAATCTGAGTCTTCCTTGAAGAAGTAACTATTTCAATGATCTTTTCAGGGGTCGCTTCGGGCAGGTGCACAAATGTGTCGAAAACTCCTCCGGACTCACTCTGGCGGCGAAGGTCATCAAAGCCAGGAGCATGAAAGAAAAGGTACCGGATTTTCATAGCATCCTATTTATACGAGTTGAATGAGAGACATGCCACGTGATATAAAAGCAGGGACTATTTGCTAGAGTACATAATAGCCAACTACAAGGCCACTGACCAGGAACAGAGGCGCATGAATACTTGTCACCTAGGCGACAAATGTTTGACCTAGTCGCAGATGCATTGTCTGATAGGGGAGAACAGCTGACCCATGTGCTTGCCTTTTGTCTTGTGGGTGTGCGTCCATATTCGTCCGCCGCACCTGTCTGTTGGCCTGTTCCTCTGTTTATATGTGCGTCCCTCTCATGTCCCTCTCTTTTGTCCCCCTCTTTTGTCCCTCTGCGCGTGTGTCTGTCTCTGTGTGTGTCTTTGGTAGGAGGTGGTGAAGAATGAAATCCAGGTCATGAATAATCTGGACCATGCCAACCTCATCCAGCTCTATGCAGCTTATGAGTCAAGGAATGACATCATCCTAGTACTTGAATAGTACGCACCTTTTCATATTTCATTTACCTCATTTATTTTGTTACTACTTCAGTTAAAGTGCATATGACAGGTTTTGATGATTCTCCAGTTTTTACATAACTTGGTGAAATAATACCTGTAGTAAATACAAATTATATTTTACACACAGAAAAGATAAAAAAAAATTGTTGTAATAAGTGTAATAAGATTATATCACACTACGGAGAATTCTACCCCAAAGTTCGACACAATTTACACTTTAATAATAATATTTTTTTCTTGTAGTTTAAATATTATTTAAAAATGTATATACAGATGTTGTCTTATATGTGTATTTGTCAAATAAAAAGATATGTGTACAATAGAGGAGCTTTGGTCCAGTGTAAAATATGATAGCTAGGTAACAGTTTTATGGAATTCACTAGTAATTTGAGTAATTTAGTTTTCTAACCAGGAAGTTAAAAAAAAAACAACAATTCGCCAAAACGGGCAATTTAAAAAATATATATTATTATTATATTATTGATCTTAAGTGTGCTGTAGTAAAATAAGTTGTCCAACCTGTCATGAGCACTTTAAATACCATATATTTCAATGAGAACATTACACAAAAGGATAATATACTGTATTGATGAAAGACATTTTTTCTTTATATTTTTTACTCTAAACAGTACAGTTTAAATAGACTTACAATTTATAAGCACTGATATCTAACCAAAGATTTCCTGTATTCTAATAACCGGTAACTGCTACTGCTACTGGTATCATCTAGATATCTTTGACAATGAATTCCAAATGTATTACATTTTTGCTTGTTTAACATGGTGATTTTATTTTTTTTTCTCCAGTGTTGGTGGAGGAGAGCTGTTTGACAGGATCATTGATGAGAACTATAAACTGACAGAGTTGGACGCAGTGGTCTTCATCAGACAGATCTGTGAGGGTCTGCAGCACATGCACAAGATGTACGTCCTGCATCTGGATCTAAAGGTAATTTATTTGTTCTTATTATCTACACAGTGTCTGTGTAGATAATCTAGCTTTAACAACATCTACTTGAGCTAATGCAGTGGTTTTGTTGTGAATTTTAGCCAGAGAACATCTTGTGTGTCAGCAGAGTGACAAATAAAGTCAAAATCATTGACTTTGGACTGGCGAGGATGTAAGTGATAGTGATACTCTGCAATACTTCCATAGATTTTATAATACTTGTTAAAACTATAATAGACCCTACTTAACACTTATTTTATAGTCAGACAAACTAGATAAACATGGTAGTTAAGCAATGTTTTATGGCCATTCTGTATGATTTATTTATTTTATTGCTGACTGCATTTAAAGTTTGCCATTTGATGCCACTAAATAGATATAAACCAAGGGAAAAGTTACAAGTGAACTTTGGCACTCCAGAGTTTCTGGCTCCAGAAGTGATCAACTACGACTTTGTGTCATTCAATACGGACATGTGGAGCCTTGGCGTCATCACCTACATGCTGTGAGTTCACCTACATACACAGTATACTTGAACACTAGCAGTCAAAAGTTTGGACACGCTTTTTCATTTACTTTTCTTCTATTTCCTTGATTATTTGCATTGTTGATTCTAACTGAAATCATCAAAACTATGAATGAGAACATTGAATGAGATGTTGTGTACAGCGTACATATAAATAAAGAGTAAAGTTTATGGGCTTGTCTTTGCAGTCTGAGCGGCCTCTGCCCCTTCCTGGGAGACACAGATAATGAGACTCTGAACAACATCCTGGCCTGTCAGTGGAGCTTTGAGGAGCAGGAGTTTGCAGACACGTCACCACAAGCAAAAGACTTCATCTCCAGACTGCTCATTGTCAACAAGAGGTACTACATCTGTGTTTTCATATGGCATAATATCATTAAGGCTGCAATTTCTGAAGTACCATAATTTCCTCCAACAAACTTCCTTCCAACAAACAAAAATAAATTAAGTCTTATTCTGCATAGAAACTGTTTTACCTGTTGTGCAAAAATATACAAACATGGTTCTGAAATGTGATTCTTGTTTAAGTTTGACCGGTCATAGTTCAGTCTTTTTGTGAGTTTTGTTGTCTGTGCTATTTTCTTATCTATGTTATAATGTTGTTTCTTCATCAAAAACATACCCAAAGTTGTGTTTTGTTTAACACACAAATCCTGCATATTTAGGCTGAGCTCTTCTCTCAAACAAAAAATATACAATCATTTGGATAATTTCTGCCCTGGAATTTCCAATCTCTACTAAACAAATGGTTAAAGGTAGCTGTTAACTTGAAGACTACTGCTTCATGAGATCACAAGGTGGAACAGCGCATTTTGAGCTTTGGAGATGTAGACAGATGATTAAAAAAGGGTTACTCAAAGATGTAGTTGAGTATGTATTTGAGGGGGTAACAACATTCTAACATGCCTTAAAGCTCACAATAGTAAATTTTGTGTAATATAGGACCTTTAATACCAATGACTGAAAATGTTCATATAATTTTTGTCTTGCGTAGTTGGAGAATGTCGGCAGGCGAATCTTTGAGACATCCCTGGCTATCTGACCCGGTGCTCCACCATGATCTTAATACAAAGGTCTGTATATCCATTACAGCTACCATCAATCTTATTAATGTTAAAATTGTATTTATTTTATTCTATGTATTTCACAGAAAAAAATGTGCAGATCGCGGCGGGCGTCTTGTGTGCCTGATTCAAATAGCTGAGGTTGGTATTACTGTTTCTGCCACAAGGAGGCGACATAGACCAAACTATATACAAGAGTTTAAACTGATCTCTTTGGATTTCAGAACTTGACACTGGTGTGAACCATACTGTGGCTGCTTGGACCAACCCTCCTGTCCACGTTATTACCCAGAATTCAATCTGTGCATCTGTGACATGTGCTAATACCATTTAACATGTACGCTTATATAGAATGAATGTTTTATTTGTAAATCTTTAATTGCCGACCCCTAGCTCATGCTCCCCTATCACACATTAGATTTGATCACCCACTGTAAATGGCTTTTGTGTGTGGTCTTACATTTTACTTTGCACGCTACTATTCATTTTATAATAATACGCTTGCATAAATCTCCAAGTATGTACTCCCTATGGGCTGTTCATTTGCTCTAAGATAACTCTGAAGCCAGAAGAAAGCTAAAAAGTGGTGAGAATTGTAACAAGATAAAGCGATTGTCTGATAACCCACGTGAAGGTCTGTTGTAAAAGTACTGTACGCGTCATCCTTCTTCATGTGTATGGAAAGAATACAATTATATTTATGTGGTTGGTGTCAAGTGTAGCATGTGCACTTTATATTGATTCTGTAATGAATGTAGTTCAGCTACTGTAGTCCTGCTTTGTCCTCAAGTACAAGTACATTCTCAAAAACATGTCTTATCACAGATACCTACTAGCTGCATGTTTAATGAAATGTGACACCGTATTCACTTTTATAATTTTTGTAAACCTGTACTGTATGCTCCATTAGGATTTAAGTTTGATTATTTATGTTCCTGTAGAAGCTGTTTCCACGAACGTTGAAGTGCCTTCTGTGAAGGTCTCGAAGTACTCCACTACCTATAGCCTGTCTGATATACTATACTAATAATGGTGAGTGCCTGTGTTAGCACTATGTAGAAATGACGTATTGTTGAATGCAGGGCTCTCACTGTGTTAACACGGTCAGCATGTGTCTTTGAAGTGTGTACACTCACATAAAGTGACATTGTCTTAAACATGGATGTTCTCAGGACTTTCTTTCACAGAAACAACACAAACGCAAACGTTTCTAAAAATGACATATTACCTAGAAGCACTAGTGGACAAGTAGTAGTGGTATTTAAAAATAAATATAATATTATTCAATAAAAGGTGCACTATGTAACTTTCCCGGTGCAGGGTCTGCCACCATGGAAATTGTGTTGCTTTGCCTGGAATTTTTAACAGTACAATATTAAATTTATCTGTTTTCCACTTACAAAGTGGGCCCACTTACAGTAGAATGCATATTTTTTCAAGCTATAACACAGGACACATAATAATTAAATAACAAGCAAGTTTAATGCTGTACTGTGGTACATTTCAAGGAAAGCAATCTCATTTATAATATCCATAGACACAACCAGGTGTTGGACTCTTACCAGAAAAGTTACAGTGTACCTTTAATATTAAGTTGAACAATATAATGTATCTTGACAGTAGAACTCAGTAAGACTAAATTCCACACAGTCTACACCTCTACTGGTTGCTTCACAGCCGCAACATCTATTAAAGGCTGTTTTTGTTTGTAAACTATACATGAACATGAAAAATATACGGAAAAGAATTTAAAGCATATACTGTTACTGAAAAGCACTGATAAAAAAAACTCCAACCTCGACCACCATCAAAGTTAAGTCATTACATTGTCCCAAAGTGCACGGAAGCCTCTGCCTCTCTGCTCCCAGACATTGTCCACAAATATTTTCTTGGAGAATCCCAGGCTGTCCGGAGCTATAGGCCCTGTTTAACCCTGGGCCTACAAACACATGTGAGGGGGAGATGAAAGGCGAGCGCGGCGTTTCGAAGAGAGCCCAGCGCGATACAGTCTGTCCACCTGACCAAATAAACGTTGTGTGTGGGATGTTCGCCGAAATTAAGGGGATTTTATCAAGGTCACGTGAAGGGCACTGAGAATGAAGAATAATCCCCAGTGTAAATCACATAGGCTTCTTGTGGCTAACATTTTATGGAACATTTCCATAAGTACAAGTTAGCTGTGTGAACGTACTGCCCATATACAGACAATGAGGTCTTACTTAACACAGAGGTTAGTCAGGGCTAAGTGTAGACTAGATTTGGAAATACCAGGAATGTAGTACAACCTAGTATTTCAAGTAATTTACATGTAGTAGTTAGATGTGGAATTGTATGGGCTGGCAGAATCATTTACAATTATGGGTCAAAATGATTTCAATTTGATTTATGTGGTGGTAAGAACATTGTCAGAGAAGATGGATGAGGAGAGTGCGATCATGTAAGCAGCTATTGTGGAGAAATCAGTAGCTACAAAATCATAATAAAATAATATAGATTTTAAAAAGTCAGAACTAATTTGTCTATGGTGGACATGTGCTTTTTATTTTTATTTTTCCCCCCAAATAGAGATAACTACAGTACACAGCACAATAAAAATAGCTTAGCCTACTAATTACCTCAGTCATTCTTAGATTGTCATAACATCTATAATTTTTTTCTGCCAATTAATTTCTCTTCTATAAAAAAAATCAAACAAACAAAACAAAAACAGAACACAAGAAAATACTACTCTTTGACCCACATCACTTTTCTTGAAAATAGGGATGTACACAACTTTTAGAGGTAGATCGGCCAACTGATATATCAAAAATATTTTAGAAAATCAGCTTAAATTTTGGCATAGGCACGGCACAAAAATATGACTATTCTACTCTTTCATAGGTTTGTAGGGAAATAGGGCTGTGGTTGTTGAAAATTAAGAACCACAGACTTATCTTTTCCTTATTATACTATTCTTATGTGTAATATATATCTAAAGGCCATTTCAAATTGGCCAAATTATTTTGTGGAAAATCAGCCCTACAGTATTGTCCCCAAAATATCTGCAAATCGTATTACTTCTCCATGGAAAAAACGATATTGCTTGATTTGTAAGCACTAAGTATTCAATCTCAAACAACAGTCAATAGCCAAAAATATGAAAGAGCAGGAAAGAATAATAGCACAGCTAGATCAGATAACCACAAGTAGACCTGCTGCAATAATTACTATATCCACTCAAAACATGTTCGATGGAACAATATTTTTTGGAGCTCAATATTTATCATGGATAGGCTATTTTTTATTATCACTGGTGGAGATTTGTAGCCTGATTCATCAGCTGGTTTCTCTTCGTAGAAACAGTCTGACCTCACAGTGTTAGAATTTGTTCGCTTGAGGGAAGGTGGGTACTTTTTATCATTTAAACAATCGCTGCTATTTGGTCGTGACATATGTAATGTGCCACTAACAGGGTATATTAAGCTTTTCCCAAATCCTGTAGGACGAAGGGCAATAACGTCTTTGCCCTTGATAAAATTCACCAAACATTCTCTTTGTTCCAGCTTTAAATCCTCGATCTCAGGAATCATTGACAACACAGGATGTATGGCTCTTCGCACTTCCAGGGTTTTTGCGAACCGTCTAGTGTATTCCGATTCCTGAACTAGTCACTGGAGAGAAATGAAATTGAGTGGAGGCACTAGGTGGCGCCAGCCTGGCTAGGGCATTTGAGCTGTAGAGGGTTGAATAAATAACTTCTATGAATCATTATAGATACAAACTAAACTGTTTTATTAAACTATTTATTTATTTATTGCTGTACATTTAGAATATTATTTGGTAATAATCCTGCTTTAGGATTATTGAGTCAGTGGCATGAATTTGTTTCAATATTATCCTTTATCTATATATTATATTTATTTATTTATTTTTTTTTCAGAGATATACCAAACTTCAGAATTTTTTAACCAAATAAACAACAAATAAAAGCTTATGAGAAGAAAAAGTCTGAAAATGGCGTGTGGTAACTGGATGATTTAGATATTATTCATAAACAAAAAAATCTGATTGACCTATATATTTTAATGGGCTGTAGATGCGTTGAAGATAAAAAAGAACCTTCAAAGCACATTTTAATACTGGCCTAAACGGTGTGAATTTTCCGATCATGGCTGACAGCTCGGTTTAGTCTGCTATTTGTTTATTTTCACACATCATTTCATCAGATGCAAGAAAAAGGTTTCATATGTGCAGAGGTTCACGCGGAGTTCAGACATTCCACCATCCCAAACAGAAGAATGGAAACATGCTAATAGCGTGAACATGTTAGCTTTTTCCCCAAACAGCTGATTTGAGTTTTCGGCGTTTTAGCAGAGCCTCAGGGATGGAAGCTATATTCTGTTCACTTCTCCCAGGCCCGGAGTGGAGCTATGAGGGTGAGAAATTCAATTAAAGAGAGTAGAAAGCCCCCGCTGCACCTCCACCTCTCCAGGGAGCCTACGGAGGAGCCAAACCAAAACCAGATGGACTTATTGGGCCTAAAGATAACAAATAGGGCCTGTCAGTTAGAGACCACCGGAGCTAAGGCGCTAACTGGAAACAAGCCTACTGACATGTCTTCATCTTTGCTAATGTTACACTAAAGAGACACAAGGAAAGGACACCATGTTAAGTTCCCATGGGCTGAGATAAATAAGAGTCTTATACGCAGCATTCTGTATTCTTAAAAATGATTTCTGTATTCTAAACACAAAGTTCTGATGGTCGTGATAACCAGTCGATCATTCATGACCAATGGCAGCTCACGAGTAAAAAATAAAGCTAAGAAAACTAAAGTAAACTAAGAAAATGTAGGGATTTTTGTTGAATTACAGTAACAGTCAAACCACTAGTCTGAAAATCTAAGATAAAATAAATGATCAGATTTAATGTGGGGGTAGAGCACTGTGCTGGGTTTTGTAGATCAGGTGCTCTTCAAGTACTATCATTAAATCTGGCAACTGAGGCAAATTACTTACTGTATTATGAGCAAGGCATCCACTTTTTGAAATATATGACTTTTAATTCTAATCTATCAGAGTGTCTCAGGTCTGTTACCTTTGCCCATCCTACAGTAAAATGTAAGGGCGTCATTTAGTAAAATAACTTATATAACAATAACCGAAATATCGTGATATCGTATCATCAAAGTTCTCACAATATCGTGGACCATCGCAATATATGGAATTATAAGTCTCTTTGCTTAAATTAAGAGTTATGGTGCAGCAACAGCTAAAAAAAAGACAGAGGGAAATACAAAGTCCATGATCCTTTGCTCCATTTCACTGTAGACTGCAAGAAGAAATAACACTTCTAAGCACTTTTAAGTCTTAGTTACTTGGATTAAGTCTTATCAAGGCTATTATTATGTTATTGTTGTATTGTTGGATATTGTTACATCCCTAATCGTGAGCCTCCCCACTATATTATGAGCTTTCCCACGATATCGCAATAAAAATCGTACCGTGAGGTTCGTACCATGATGATATCGTATTGTGAGACTTTGATATCGTTACACCCCTAGCTGTTACGTCTATCCAAGACTCTTCTGCATTATAACAAAAAGTAGGAGGAACTATTTTGCCAGGTAAACAAGAAAAGATACTAGCAACTGGGGCTGGGAATCACAGGGTCCCTTACGATTCAATACTATATTATTATACGATATTATTATGACACATGTGATAATCGATATATTGCATTGTTTTTAAGAACCAAATACACTTAAGCAATACATTCTCTTTAATCATCAAAACAGTGAATATATCAAGGGTTAAATAAGCAACAAAACTGTGAAAAAAAAGAAAAAACAAGAAACAAAATTGCTAAAAAAAAATACTCTTGGTGATACATTGATACAGTAGCTCACAATACTGTATCACCAAATTTTGTATCACAATATACTCACATTTCTATAATTTTGCACACCCCTACTAGCATCATTTAATAAAAGGCTGGACAGGGCTTTGAACTTTTTGGTCCTTCAGTCAAAAAGACACTGACTCGAGTT